CACACACACACACACACACACACACACACACACACACACACACACACACACACACATTCCAAAAGTGGCATAGGCATTTAGCATCACAGAACACACCACACGCCCCTTTTGCGGCATGCCACACACCCCTTTTGCGGAATGATGAAGCCTCCAACAGAGGGCTCGGGGCCACGGGCATTCTTTTTGGCAGGCCCATTGCCCGCTTTGGCCTTTTTGTGGCCTTCTACCGGCCAAGAGGACCTTAGTCATCATGAGGCCCCCAGGTGAGTGAGTCCATGACACCCGTGCAAGTAGTTTGTCTGTTCTGACTCCAGACATGTGAGTGTTTTGTCTGTTCTCAGTTTTGTTTTATTCGGGTTACTTTGTTTTGGATTGCTGCATAGATATCTTGTTGGTGTCAGTATGGTTATGGTTGTGTTCTGCGCCAGTTTGTTTTGTCCAGGTTTAGATTGTGCCTTCATAGGATTTATCTGAATAGGTACACGTTTGGCAGATACTGTTTCACGTTTAGCCCAGCTCGTCTGTTGGTGTCTAAGTCTGTGCCTGGCTTTTGTGCCCAGGCCAGTTCATGGTCCAGCTCTGCAGCTGAGACAGCACAGGAGGGCCAAGAACGCGGTAGGGAGACAGCAGAGGAGGACATGGAACTCAGTAGGGACCCAGGGCGCTCGTTGTTGGGCCTGGGGATGCATTGAGGCACAGCCTCCATTTTTGGCCATCGGATCTCAGACTGATCCGATGGCCTAGGACGGCGGCCAGGTAGCGGACTGGCTGGCCCAGTGGTATATAGGAGCTGGCCAGCTCAGTAGTATATGGGAGAGGGACAGCCGAGTATGACATAGAAAGGGCCGGGCCAGTAGTTGGTAGATAGTCTTTAATTCATTCATGTGCCACCAGGCTCCGACTGGGAGTAGAGGATCAGCTTAGTCATAGAAGAGGTAGAGCAGAGTTGAGTAGAGCTAGGAGACGACGAGTTCAGTGGGGTACTCTCACTTGGTGCCATAGCTTGGAGGTCTGCCACTGTCCATAGCCGGCCTTCTTCTTCAGGATATCTGCAGTCCATCAGCAGGCCCAGGCTCTGCCTTTCACCAGTCTATATCCTCTTGATGCAGAGAGAGAGGGAGAGAGAGGGAGAGAGGGGGGGGGAGAGAGGAAGAGATAGAGAGAGAGAAGACTTCCACACTTTGTGTTCTTGGAGAGGGAGTGGAGAATTCCACGGTGCTTCTTCTTGGGTGGAGAGAGAGAGAGAGAGAGAGAGAGAGAGAGAGAGAGAGAGAGAGAGAGAG